CCACGCTCAGGCAGCACCCCCCCAAAGCAGTAAACCTAGGGGAAACACTGCAAGTAGGAACAAGCATGATGGCATGTAGGAGTGTACGTAGGTTGGAGTAAATTCTTCTTGTTGCTTCTACAGTTGTAAACATTATACTTGTCCTCCAGCAAGACAATTAGTGGACTGGTCTCAGGAAAACAGCAGTTTAAAATAACTTGGGTTGTATTTTGTTGTAGCTTGTGCTATTACTTAGTAATGATAACATCTTATTCAGGATAGTAATAGCTAAGATCTTAGATAAAGCAACATCCCTAAACATTAAGGTTTTTCTAAATAAGTTATCCCCATATTTGTTCTTATAATCCAACTATGGCAATAGCAGTAGGTAAAAGTTAAAAGGTTACTTGGATTACACTTTAGCTACACTTTTATTTTCCTTCCCAATACATGTGTGTTTGTGTATTGATGTTGCCATGTTATCAGCAAAGAAAGTTGAGTACAATGTTATATCGGATAGAACCAAAAGCTATAGCTACACAAGTGAAATCCAAGTTGTGATGGAGTTTTACCTTAAAAGGCACTGATTCCACCCATGATCTGAAGCTGAAGCATTATCTCAACTAAGGCATTAAGGGGCTCTCTAATCCAGATCAGAGGGCTTTCAGATCAATTAGGGAGCTGCATTGCTTAGGATAAGTGAAGCATGTACATGGAAAGTGGACAAAAGGAGCTTAGGATCCTTTGATGCCTTATTATGGTTTCAACAATTGAAAAACAGCACAGATATTACCAAGAATAATGAATGACTCCATTACTCAAAGTGCTTTGCAAAATAATATCTGGCTACATTTTAATTGCATTAGTCACCTTATCATTTAGGTTGTTTCATGGTTACTTTGGTCAAGTGTACAGATCAGATCATACATCTGTTTTATTTTAGGGTGTCTTGTGGCTTTCTGGCGGATATTTAAAGACGTTGATAATGAATTTCAAAAATGTGCAAAATGTCAAGATGCTGATCTGTAAACACCAGGACTGAGGGAAGACAAATTCCCTCTTTTGCCTGCAGCTATAAATGGCACATTCCATTGTGATTTTATCACCACACTGTCAAACAGGGAGGAGTGTGAAGTGTGTTTTTGTTCCATCTTTATCTTTTGCCACACAACCAGTCCTTAAAATATTACATGCACACATATAGGGCTCATTTGAAATATTATTCAATATATATATATATATATATATATATATATATACACAGTATATATTATTATTATTGTAAAAAAATGGCGAACTCACCAGAAGGGGGCACCAGCAGTTGGAAGCGATGACCATGATGAGGATGAGCTGAACCATCATCTCTATTTCGTGATCTCTGCGGCGCTGGTTCTTACCCTTTCCGCAGCACACCTTGATTAGCGTCACAATGCTCACCGTGTTTAGCAAAAATGACACAGCAATGCTCATCAACCCGAGCAGAGAGAAGATCAGGGAGAAGGCAAAATCATTCCCCTTAGAGCTGATGTTGAAAAAACACCAGGATCCAGGTATCTGCATGTGGTAGCTCCCGATGCCTGTTAGGGGCAGCAAAGCTATGCAGCCTGCGATCAACCACACCATCAGCACCATGAACACTGTCCGGCTCTTGGGCATGCTGCTGGAGTGTGCAAATGGGTGGTTGATGCCAATGAAGCGCTCTATGGCCATGGCAGCACCAAGCATCAGTGGGCACAGTCCATAGAAGACCATAGACATACCCATGAAGTTGCATAAGTGGCAGTTTGGATCTAAGTTGCGCCAATTAAAGTGAGTGATGTGGTATGAAACCACGATGGACCCGGTGACCAGAAGACCCATGAAGTCAGTAACCACCAGGCCACCAAGGAAGATCATGAAGAAGGAGCGCGAGCGGCTGTGTGTCCGCCGGAAGGACTTGAGTAGAACTACGAAGGCGATTAAATTTGATGTGAGACCCAAGGCGCTGAAGATGGATGAGAAGTAGGCCGAGGCGTTGGGGATGGGCCTGAATGGAGGGCTGTTGATGGAGTAGCATAGTGGGGTGTTGTTGGCAAATGATGAGTTATTCATGATGATCAGCTGGTGTGAGTTCCTCGATTACAGATGACTCAGACATGGAAGGAGGAATTTCATTTCCCTCTTCAACCTCAAAAGTAAAGAAAAAGAGAAAATGTAAACATTGAGACATTCAAAACACATGAAGAAATAGAGACACTTTCTGCTGTGAGAGTGGGCTGGTTTTGTTGCAATTCCAACATGCTTTTGTGGATGTAAGGCTAAATGGTACTTTTCCAACTCTTTATTAAGGCAAGGTGTGTTGCATAACTGCTGGTGCTTGGATTCAATCTTCTACATGCATATTCCTATCTAAAGTAATGCATTGCTGGTCTAGTACATTCTTATTCATTTACATTTCTTGCCATCATTTCCAGTGGTTCAACATTTTATGTACAAAGTATTTGCTAAGATTTGGGAACATGGCTTTTTTTATTTTTGCTTAAACAATGGCTAACATTGAAAAAGGAGTTAGTAACAGTTTAGCCAGATTATCTCAACCACTATTCATTTGGATGTAAATTTGAAAGTAAACGCACCAATGTTGCTGATAAATCCGAAATACTTAAAGAGTATCAAAAGAGGTATTAAGGCTGCTAACTATGATGGACAATAACATGCGGCCATTTACTGTTTTTGTTTGTTTTTTTGTCTTCTGGTCTGATTGTGTGACTGTTACTCATACAGTCTATGCTGTTACTGCTGCTTGCCCTGTCAGACACCTTTTTAGAAGATGTTCCTAGATCGCAATCGTCCTTGCAGGTACAATAATAACCAATACTGACAGACCCTAGTATCTTATACAAGTCTGTTTAAATCAACAACATTTTTTGAGCACATTTTTAGGATGGATATGCAAACCATATAAAGATAGAGAAAAAACATAACACCCACATACTGTACATCAGGCATGGAGAGAGTGACATAGAGACTGCTATAGACAGAGAGTAGGAGAGCTGTCATATCCTGGCAGGAAATGCAGTTATATGAACAGTGCTGACAGTTACTCGAAATAAACACATAGTGTCACAATGGACCTGTGATGCTGTCCCTAGTGCTCTGTCCCCAATATCATGTCTGCCATATAGTCAGACTGTATGATACTGGTGACAAGCTTGGTGCAGTTATGCATTAGGTCAGAAGGTGAAGTGAAATCAAATATGGGCAATAAATAATAATGTTTTCCCTAAGCAAAACATTAGATTGATGGCATATTATAAGGATATTGATATCATCCCGAAATAGGAAGAAATATTAAATGTTTATGTAAGCCTCACGGATTTGCCAATTATGTCTTCACACATCTTTCAATAGTGATCTCAGTACGTCCTGTCTAATACTTAATTTCAAATGTACTATGGATCAAGATAACACTGTAAACTGTGGGTTTAACTTCCTGTGAGCTTCCTAACACTTGTTTCATCAGCCAACAAAAGGTGTAAGGCCACTGTATATCCTGCTATTTAATACTTTTCAAGATACGATCCAAATGTAGAAGGAAATAGAGTGACAGCTAAAGAGAAAAAAGAAAGCAAATTTAGAGGCCATACTTCAGCTAATGAGAAATAAACAAATAAATGGATAGTGTTTGATTAATAAACTGTGCATATATTTTTATTTATGGCTAAAATAGAGTGATACATTTTTGGAAACTATTACATGCTTTGTTCTACGACATAAAAGACAGCGGTGATCCTCTACTAGTAGATTCTTTAAGCTTATTTGTATCTTAAAATAAGGCAGTCACATACAAGTAGCCAAGTAAGACTACCCCATCACGTCCAACACATTGGCTTAGCTGTGGTGACATTAATTCACGACACAAGGAGTAGTTAATGTGTGACTTACATTTGCTTTACATCAGGCAATTGAATTCAAGCTTCCAAAATCATAAAAGTGGGCTCCATCTGGTGATCATCACGGGTGTCATACACTTTTGTTTACAGAGCTTATTTTTGAGCAATAATCTAAAATCAAATACAAAATCCAACAGAGATTGTGTCAAAGGAACCAGTGCGATGCTAACTTGCCGGGTAGCCTACAAAAATGACATTGTCCCTGCAGCACTCTATAGCCCTCACAGTAATTTGTCTGTATAATTGTGACATTTTCCTAAGAGGCAACATTAAATTAAACATTAGGATCTAAAGCTAAAAGCTAACTACACTGTTATCAGGTCCTTCCATACCTTAGACAATACTATAAGGAGACAGTTGGAGATTGGCGCCAGCTCTTTTGTGACCCTAATAACCCTTTGAGTGTGCAATTAGACTAAAAATCCTGTTAGCATCTCAAATCAATATATTGTATCCCATTTTGCTTTAAGGAGGCAGTACAGTGGTTTCCTATTCAAACTAATGGTCAACCACAGACACATAATCATGGGTTGCATGTACTCTATGCAATGGAAAACGCAGTGTGTGTGCAAAATGTGTGGTAAGAGGTTCCTAAACTGAGCATGTGATATTTTTCAGCCACTTAACAGACCAGCCTCCACAAGACACAATTATATTACAGTTACAGTTTGTGGTGCAAACCATTTTTTAATACAGTATACTTGTGGTTGCGAATTATTTTGAGACATCTGTGATGGTGAATGGACTGTACTTATATAGCACTTTATCAGGTCTTTACGACCCCTCAAAGCCAATTGTTCTTAGAAACTAACATTCACACACCGTTGGCCATGCCATCGGGAGCAACTCAGGGTTAAATATCTTGCCAAAGGATACACCTGTAACAGTCTGCTGTACATCGAGTATTCTGCCCTGTATAACCCATCTGTAAAAATATATACTATTTGTTATATTTGTTTGTATTGCAATCTTTTAAATGGGATTTTATTAAAGATATCCCTTAGTGAAAACATTTCTTATGCAATACGTTATCAAGGCAACAGGGACAAATGCACATAGAGGTGATCCATTAGACGAGAGATAATGAAAACGTTTTGCTCTCACTGAGGTGAATAAATAAAACGGAAACTTCACAGCCTATAGGTTTGACTAGGTCTTGCCAAGAATCTCAACTAAAAACACTGAATCGTTTTTTTTTTTACAAAAGTCTGATGTGTATACTGACAATATATTTCTCAAAGGGAGCTAACTGCTTTCTTCATAAATATTGTTTAGCTTGTTTTTAGACAGTAGGTGTTTTTTTTCACAGACTACATAGAACAAGGTTGGATTAAAAAGCATGAAATCCACAACAATTCTCCCACAAGAGCCAAGCTTTGGTTTATATTTCTAACATCATCAGTGGTAGTTGATTAATATGGACTCTAGAATAGATGATGACGTCAAGCATTAGCCATTCATCTCCAGTAAATATTTTGTTAAAGAAAATGTTAAGTTTGAATGAACACTCTTTAAAATGGTGAAAGAATGTTAAATCACTACATTATCGTAATTTAAAGGTGGGGTATGTAATTTTGGAGAAACCAGCTTGAGTGCGCTAGAATTTGAAAATATACAACCGGAAAAAATCTGCCACTTCCTTACAGAGCACCTCCTCCAACACACACGAACACGCACATGGCCAATGAGGGCACGAGATAAATGTGTGCACAGATGGAAGGCTGACAGGCAGGTAGGCCATCCAGGCTAAAATGACTGGTCATGCTTTTTACAGCGCTACGGCTTCCACAGATTACATTTTTCTATATATTTATTGTAAAAGCATTTAATATATTCATTGCTATCGGGATGTTAAGAGCATTCCATGGAATATAAGAAAAAGTGTTTAAATTACATACCCCACCTGGCTATTATTGTCTTTAGTTAATCAGCACTGAACTAGGTGCTGAATAACTTGGTGTTGCTTCCCGTCGATGGGCTAAATTAACTCACTGAACTATGACTTTTTACATCTGATATATAGGCCTAATAACAAATGTAAATCACAATTTGTTTAAACTATGCTCATGGACGCGGGAAGGGGGGTGCTGCTGAGGCCCTTAGCCTGAGGGGGCTGCAGCACCCCTATCTGTTGGCGGAGAGTTGTAACTGCAACACCAAGTTGTGCTTCTTCTGTTGCTCTGCTATAGAAAAGAAGCTCGTCAGTGCAGACAAGATCAGGGATGGGAGTTTGTGAAAGGAGGATTTAACAACTTGCGAAAGGCAGGGGAAAAATCAAGGGAGCATGAGAAGTCCCATTAACACACAGTCCGTCAACAAACTGGCAGCATACAACGAACACCGATGAATGCGCTGCTCTGACAAGCGGTTGCTAAAGACCAAATCACTTAAATAAGACGTTATTATGGGCCGCCCCTCACTACACGCAGATCACGCTGACTGCGAGGCAGACTGAGGTGAGGCAAAATGTGGCTCATTTTGCGGAGGGAGCCTCATCTGAAGCGCAAACGCGGCGCACCTAAAGTGTAAGCGCGCCACAGTTTTGCCGCTGTGAGGCTCCACTAGCACCTCCCGCACCCCCAACTCTGATTGACTTCCCGCGTTCCTATGCTAAAAGATTGCATAATGTAATGCATAATCCATAAAAGCAAATGTAAATTGAATGTACATTTGCAAATAGTTAGCAACAAAACAACAAAAAAGGCATATCAAAGGGGTTGGTTGATTTCAAACAACATATAATCCCTGTGTAAAACAATTCGTACATTGGTGTTCCCTTACTTCCCCTATCTTTTTTAAATGAGACATTTGAGGTGTTTCATGCTTCATAGCTGTTCTTTCACAAGTTAGTTTACTAAGAGATTAAATGGGTCTTACCAGTACAGACGCACTATCAAGTTCCCAGTTCACTTTCACTTTGGAGGTTTGCTCTGTTCCCTTCAAACCATCTTTCTGCACTTGTTAGATAAATAAAGAACCCAATAGTCACAGGAAGAGGAGGGAAACCGGTTGCATATCAAGTCCCATCTGATGTAAATATATTAAGTACAACAGCAGGCTGTTAGCAGGAACCCTTGATCATATCCACTCTCTTCCCCCGCAGCTCAGATACTCATCTCTCCCCCGAAAGTCAGGCTTTCCTTTGCTCAGTTCTCCCCTCCCCGGAAGACAAAAGGGGAAGCGCTCCGGGAAGACTACTGCCATGGTTTAGGCAAGAGAATAAGCAACAGAGAAAATGTCCCCAGGCATACAACTGAATTTTTTTTAGTGTACAAAGGTGCAAATAGGCTTTTTATTAAGTGGGTGCATAGGAGTATTTCCACAAGCTGTAAAAATGTTTTTTCTTAACTTTTGCACTGAGCATATATTTGAATGGCTACAATACTGACATTTGACATTGAGATGTGTCCCAACATTATATAATCTGATACTCAAAGAAAACTGAAAAAAGGCTCATAGCTATTGTTTTCTTTGCATAAAACTGTAAACAAAAAGAAGGTGTACAACAACCTTTATATATACAGTCTATGACAAAAACATTTTTTATAACACATAATGCTGTCGGAGAAGAGACTTGGATGGAGTAATCAATCTGTTTTAAGGACATAGGTTTCAAGACAATTCCAGAAAAATTGGAGAAAGCTGGACATGCCATCAGCAGATGCTTTTATTTCTTTGGTTTCAGGTTTTACATCTGAATCTGACCATTTCACAGTTTATATAACTTAACGACTTGTTCACATAGACATATGCGATGCAGATGTGGAGCACGGCTGCCAGACAAATTCAGCGAAAAGCAGGCCTGTAAATCAGTGACAAGGAGAATGTAGCAGGAATGAAGGTTTATAAAAGTACAAAAGTTACAGTCCTTACATTTGTGTTGAATTTCGAATGTTGGAAATATTTTCTTCAGAAGACATTACGTTAACAATCTTAAAAGACTATACTAGGCTATACTGGGGTGGTGATTCGCTTAGCTGAGCTTAATTTAGCATGAAGAGTGGAAGTTAGGGGGAAAAACTTCAAACATCTATAGATAAAATACTCCTTCGTTAACTTGTGTGAATACCAAGCACAAAGACAAATATAAAAATAACCATTTGTGGTTAAAGGGGGTGTTGGGTGGTATAACCTTTCTTTTTTTCATTGATGAGCAACAGCTGAGCACAGTGACTACTTGGATATTAAAGAGAGGTTTCCATGCAGGCAACCAGGACTATAGTTGGAGATGCTCAGTACAAAGGAGTAGGTGTTGGATAAATTACTGTGCATCTATAATCTAATTTCTACCCACAAAGGTCTAACAATAAAGATGAAGTTATGGTTTTGTTTCCTTTGGCTGTACTCCTCTCCAGCACACATTCATATACACACATACACTCACTTACAAGAAGTGTTTGAAGCGATTTACCACAGTCTATAAAATGTTTGCATTACAAAACCACAAAGTCAAAGTCGATAGTATGCAGGACGGAAACAACTGAAGACTCATAGCTTTGGCCAGCCTCACAAGTCCTAAGAGAGAATAAGGCAGCCAAGGGATCATCACTGACCATAAAATCATAATCTGGATCCTATCCAATGAAGAAACACATGAGAGACTCTCCAAATAGAAAAAATGTAAGCAAGAATGAAAGTGATGGATTATGGTGTCAGTGAGAAATTGTTGTAATTTTCCCACCCATCACTTTGAGCAATCTCACTTCTCGTTTGTGCAGCCTTTTGCCAATTTGAAGAAACAGAGGCCTGTAATTTTGGTGTGATCTCTCAAACAGGCCTATCATTTGATGCTCAAGGAGTAGGAAAAGTGGGGCTATTACTTTCAGGTTAGGCACAAAAGGAAGATGAATCGTTTTTTTTAATGATAACCTGGAGGTGTTATGCTTTTATTAACTCCAGAATTCATTACTATATTGTCCTTTATTTAGGGTTTGGTCGCAAACATATAGCTTGTAATAGTTACCACTGACTAATTAATGAATGATTAATTTGATAAAATATGATATCCCTTCTATGCAGCTTGATGAGAGTGATGGGAGAGGCTGTCAGCAACATATTATGGTGCATCACACATTATGATACATGTTGCTTTCAAGTTTCCCTTTTAAGAGGTATGCCAGTACAATCTAATACACAATTAACCAATACATGATCATTTAAAAAGACAATAAATCTAATCTTATGCACAAAACTAAAAATAGGACAACAGAAGAGCTAATTATTATGATGGATAGAGGATCCACTGACTTTACCAAGCTACGGCCTTGCTTTAGGCCCATGTTGATGTGTTTTCTCTTACAAGAGCGCTACTGATATTCCCTCATCTATTCCCCATGTGGTAGATGAAAGGGTTTGAGATAAGGAATGAAATGGTTGGTGTCCGAATAACTACAATTTATTACACTTGAGCCATCCCTTGGGCTTTATACCGGGGTTATGTGAGGGATGACTTTAGGGAGAAAATAGATGCCGTGCAGAGTAGAACCAAGATTAGAAACACGTTGAAGCAACTAGCAGACCAAACACCATTTATTTCCCCAATATCGTAAACATGGATCTGATGCAGCGGGTACCATTTCAAGCGTAACGTGCTTAGATGACATTTGTTCTGCTGTGGATGTTTGTGTAAATATTATGACCCCTGAGAGCGTGTTCACACAGCAGGCTACACCTAAATGTCACCTCTTTGCTGCGTTTTTACAATCCTTCAACACTAAAGCTGTATTTCTCACACAAAAGGCTGTGTTTTGAAGAGTGGTTACATTTGAAAGGGCATTGTGTGTATGTTGAAAGGAAGCTAAAGGCAGGGCCGCCACTCCCTACATGCAGATCACGCAGACTCAAGGAGGCAATAGTAAACCCTCTCCTAAAGAAACCCACTCTCAACCCATCTGATGTTATAAACTACAGGCCTGTCTCTCTCCTCCCGTTCCTGTCTAAAACACTTGAACGCGCTGTCTTTAAACAACTCTCCTGTTATCTCCATCAGAACAACCTTCTGGATCCGCACCAGTCTGGTTTCAAGGCAGGTCACTCCACAGAAACTGCTCTTCTTGCTGTCTCTGAGGAACTGCACACTGCCAAAGCAGCATCCCTCTCCTCTGTCATCATCCTTTTGGACCTGTCTGCTGCATTTGACACGGTAAACCATCAGTTCCTCCTTCGCACTCTCCAAAAACTTGGAGTTTCAGGCACTGCACTTTCCCTCCTCACCTCATACCTCAAAGACCGTACCTACAGGGTAACTTGGAGAGGGTCGGAGTCCGACCCTTGTCAATTAACCACAGGGGTCCCTCAGGGCTCTGTTCTTGGTCCCCTCCTCTTCTCCTTGTACACAAACTCGCTCGGATCTGTCATTAGCCCGCATGGTTTTTCATACCACTGCTACGCTGACGACACCCAATTCATTCTGTCCTTTCCCCGCTCAGAGACCCAGGTCGTCGCACGCATCTCTGCTTGTCTAGCTGACATCTCTCAGTGGATGTCTGCTCATCACCTCAAGCTCAACCTTGACAAGAGTGAACTGCTTTTCCTTCCGGGAAATGATTGTCCCACTCTTGACCTAACAATCAACATCGGCACCTCTATTGTTTCCCCGACTCAGACTGCAAGGAATCTGGGTGTGATCCTAGATAACAAACTGTCCTTCACTGTAAACATAGCTGCTACAACCCGCTGCTGCAGATACACGCTTTACAACATCAGGAGGATACGTCCCCAGCTGTCCCAGAAAGCAACGCAGGTTCTGG